CGGCCGCCCCTCGCCCGCCCGGCCGCCCCTCGCCCGCCTGCCTCTCGCCCGCCCAGGCTCCACCGGGGATCCCCCTTCCCATGCCGCTGGCCTGGGACGGCTGGCCGGCGCAAGCCTGCTTCCTCCGGGTGGTCAGGTGCCTGCGTGCCTGCTGGCCAGCGCTTCTCTGCCATCTTCCCTGCGGTTTTTCTCGCAGGGACTTGAGGATTTTGCGTCTTCTCCTAGATAGTGCATGTTGTCTTTTACAGTTGATTTCTGCCTCCAACCCTGGGCCTGTACAGACTGGGGAATCTAGGGAACCATCTGCCCCTTAAAGCTCTCTTCTTGCCTTAATCAAATCCTTATCATATAGTCTTTCTCAGAAAGTCATGTATTCTTCTTAACTCTTTTCTGATATATTTCTTCCTATCCTTTGCAGTATATGTGGTTATCTCTTGGTGTAAATCCCATTTCTGAAGTTCAGCTTGCAGTTTGCAATTTTTATTATCCTTTCTGGATCATCTGTTCACACTTGTAAGCCATTGACCCTAAAGTATTTGACTTTAAGTTGTTTAGAAAGAGGGCAATAAAGAAAAATTAAATGCTTACCAAATTGGGGACTAGTCACTGTTGCTTATTCCAGAATAATAAAAATCATTTTCTCAGAATTCATAATGCAAACTAGAGAAGGGGAAATAAATTCCTTTACCACTGTTCTCTGAATTTGAGGCTGCTTTGCTACTTTCATTATGACATATATGTACCTCCTGCTTGACATGCTCAGCATTTATTTTTTTGTCTTTTTGAGAGAGTTTCATTGTACAGGCTGGCCTTGAATCTCATTTTGTAGATCATGCTGACCTCAACTCGCATTGGTCTTCCTGCCTCAGCTGCCAGAGTGCTGGGATTACAGATGTACTCTGCCATGCTGGGCAGCACTACAGTTTGTGAATATATATATATATATATATATATATATATATATATATTTTAATACCAGGGATCAAACTCAGGACCTTGTACTTGCCAGGCAGGCATTTATGCCACTGAGCTATTCAGCGACAAGGCAGCTCATCAGCGAGCAAGAGATCATGAGTTTGATTGCCAGTTCCAAAAATTGCAATAATAATAATAACATCTACTGTTAAGTACTGGTTATTCCATTCTTTTTTTCTTCTGAAAAACAAATGCACGTGTAGCTTTTTAAAATGTATTAGAGTTTTGATTTCCATCTTTATGTACTTTTATATTTAGATCAGTCATTACTTAAGCGGTCATATTGGTCACATAAAAGGTTATGATTTCCTTATCTTTTGAAACTGAAGGGATGGGGATGTTAAAAAAGAATTAGAATGTGTTATGCCCATCTACTAATCCAACACAAGGAATGTAAATATTATGTATTACATATCTATACTGCTAAGCTAAAGTTTAAGTCATACATATTTTTTAAAACCTTGAAAGGAAATTACAACTTTTTTTTTTTAATTGAACCAGATCTCACACATGCTAGGTCAGCACTCTACCACTAAATTGTATCCTCAGCCCTATGATTGTCTTTACATAAATCTGCTTCTACAGTCTGTCCCTTGGTTCATGAACAATACTGATTATAATGTAAAATAGTATGACTGAAAGAGCAGATTATGACAAATCTGAAATATGCAGCTCTACAGAGGAGCAGAAACATCTGGGGCATGGGCTTTCTCTATTACCATGATACAATCTTGAAATTAGACTTCTGCCAATCCTTAAAAAGAAAAACATTTAGCCCAAAAATTCAGACTGAACAATATTTATTTTCCACAAAGTTATTAAAGTCAGAATCAATTACTGTATTGTGGGGTTGCAAAAATTGTTTATGTTATTAGAAATGCCATACTGGATCTTTATTTGATATACTAAAATACAGTGATGAAAATTATGACAATGATGCAAGAAAGTAAGCACGGTGACATGTGACTTATCCCAGTTACTTAGGAGGCTGAGGGGTGAAAGTCTCAAGTTCATTATATCATACTGGCATAATGTTATTAAGATTGATTTTTGAAGTCAGGAGATAAGTATGCTAAATAGGGAGTGGGTATCGTGTCTGTGTAGATTGACTGCAATATTAGTGTGTCATCGATGTTTATTTATTTTTGGTACTGGGAATCAAATTCATGACCTCACACTTGCCAGGGAGATACAGTGCCACAAGCTATATCTCTAGCCCTGTCATCAAAATCAAGTAATTTGTTAGTCAAGGATGCAGTTTGTGAAGGACATGAGTTGTAAGGGTGTGTTATATAAAGAGCTTTTTAAAAAATTTTCTTCTCCCTTTTGATCTGTTTTATGGGCCCTATAGGATGACTATGTTCTAAACAACACTAACACATTGCTCAGAGACTTTTATTCAGAGAATAGAATTCAAACACCTTTGATCACAAAATCTTCTGTGACCTGTATTTGGTCATCTTATGTACCAATCCCTGCTGACCTCCAGAGTTCTCCATCTCTGCCAATCTCTTCTTATTTTCCTCACATTTGTCATATAAATTCTGGTCTCACACTTCACCCTTCTTAGCTTATCTTCACCCACTTCGCCTTGACCTGTTGTTGTTCCTTGGGGTCTTATCGCTGGTCTGCTACATTTTGTGAAATTGAATGTTGGTGTTTTTCCTGTATTCACTAGCTTCTGTTTTCCGAGCCGTAAGGTATATACGTTCATTCATTTAGTAAATAGATAGATGCCTGACTTCGTTCAAAGTAACTGGGGTGCAGAGCTAGACAAGAGGTGTTCTCTTGTAGGTAAAAAGAAGTTATTCCAAATGACCCTTGTTGGATGTGCACACTAGAGAACAGTATAGATTGATGGGTTGGGGTCTGGACAGCAGAAAGGAGCATTTGCACAGGGTGGTCAGGGAAGGCTGGCGGGGGGGGGGGGATTTGAGTCTGTAGTGCTAGGTCTCCCTCCCAAATAACTGATTATTTTAATTTGGTCTAAGATGGAGCTATACACTCATGAGTTTACAACTTTCCAGACAGTGGTATCAGTGCATTTGAAAACCACTGACCAAGAGGAAGGGAAATCCAGTCACCGGGAAGAGCTAGTATGTGAGGTCTCACTCTTGCAAGTAAGCTTCATGAGGCTGTAATATCTATTGCATCTTTTTTCTCTTTATTTCATTACTAGAGAGTGTACTTAGTGCTTTATGCATGCAAAGAAAGCACTCTGCTACTGAGCTATATCCCTAGCCCTTTCTTACTTTATTTCTTATTTTATTTTTGACAGTGTATCCCTAAGTTTTCCAGACAGGCCTTGAATTTGAGACCTTTTTGCCTCAGCCTCCCAAGTAACTGGGATTACAGTCACATGTCACCATGCCCACTTTGTTGCATCATATTTATAAGTCAATTTTAATAACTGGATTTTAGTGTGTGAAACAATAGCATATCTTAAAACAAATCAACATCTCCTATCCCTCTCCCCTTACATAAGCCTACTGTACTTTCTGCAGTAAAAATTGGGATGTCTTCTATGACTTCTTCCTGCATGCCCATCCTGGAGTGCTGTCTGCTCTACCTCCCAGTGTTGATTTAGTCCCTCACTCCCATGAAAGCCACCACTTTATAGCCTCCAGTCCCTGTGCCCAGCCCTGTATCCTTGGTGCAAACCAGAGTTCCCTGTAAAGCTGAAATCTGATCAAATCACAACCGATATGTCTCTTGGCCCCCACATTGATCTCAGAATAGAGCCTGACTCCTCTGTCTTATCTGGTCATCATGTCTTCTCACTTCTGGCCATGCCACTTCCTCTTGGTGAGCTCCACCCCAGGTAGCCTACTTATGGGTGGTAAATGTGAGTGCATTTCCAGGTATGTTGCCCAGAACTGGTGGTAGCAGGTGTACTCTTTGAAATGATTCTGTGACTCTTGCTTGCTCTTTAGGTAGAAGCTTAGATGTCAACTCTTGTAAGCTGTCCTGACATGTAGTATTGAGCACTGCCCTCATTTTATCACTTAGACATGACCAAAGTACTATGTCATCAGCACTGTCTCACCACCATTGGCTAGCCAACATTAATAATGTTGGGCCAGCCAAATAGCTCAGAGGATTAAAGCGCCTGCACGCAAGCGCAGGGGCTGGGGGTTCAATTCCTGGGCGTGCCATGCTGGCCCCACCCCTGGGGTGCTCTGAGATAGCAAGTGAGACTGGGCGTGGTGGCACATGCTTGTAATCCTAGCTCTTGGGAGGCTGTAAACAGATGGATCACTACCAGTCCAACCTAGTAGTGAGACCCTGAACACCCTGTAGACCCTTCCCTAAAATTAAAAAAAAAAAAAATTGATGAGCAGGCATCAAAATGTTAAGTAGGAAATTCTTAATTCAATGAACAAATGCTCTTAATGAAAACAAAATTTTAATTTTTATATAATACATATATATGTGTGTGTGTATATATATATATATATATATATATATTTTTTTTTTTTTTTTTTTCAATTACCCTTTTTTGCAGGAGAACCATGCCATTTCTGGGTCAGGACTGGAGATCTCCTGGGTGGAGTTGGATTAAAACTGAAGATGGCTGGAAAAGATGTGATTCCTGTAGTCAGGAGCTTGAAAGTGAGAACAGCCGGTGTACTGTCACTCATGACCTGTAAGTCACAGCCAGCAGAAGATGCCAGCCTGACATTTATGGCCTACCTCTTTTTCATGTCCCTGCAGAGCTCCCTAACTTATAGTTTTAAAATTGTCCATCAGAATGTGTGAAGTGAGTTATTTTGCTAATGGAGAAGCCTGGTGGATTGCCTAATGTTCTGTATGGTCTTTTTTTTTTTTTAATTTTTTTATTTATTACATTTATTTATTGTGTGTGTGTGTGGCCAGCTCAGCCCACCAGGGGGCGGGGCTGGCTGGCATGTGGTGCTGGGGGATCGAACGGAGTTCCCTGTGCTTTGCCAAGCTTGTTTCAAGTAGGTGCTTTAGACCACTGAGCCATCTCTCCAGCCCCTGTATGGTCTTTATTATTGAAAACACATGATGTTCACAATAATGTAGGAGCTAGAAATTTTATTTAATCCCACAGTATACAGAGGAACGTGAGGAAATTAAAATACGCAGTTTTCTCAGAATATGTTAGGGACATAGTAATAGACTTACCTAACACAAAAAACCTAAAAGTATAAGACAACGTAGTGATATTGCTTGGTGACATTATCAGGGGCTGAGTGACATTCTGTCAGGTTTCTCAGCCATCCTGAGAGTACAGCTTCATCTGCAAGTTCTGAGAAGGTGCATCATCCACCTTGTCTGCATTCTAGTGGGGGACATAGATAAGACAACAGGAGCCACAAATTATACACAAGTGTGCCCTCATTGCATTGGCTGAAACACTGGCCTCCAGGAGGCTAGTGTAGTGGTCTGTCTTGTGTGTGGCCATGTGACTAGTTAAAAATCTAACATTGCATGAACACAGAAGCAAGGCAGGTGGCAGTGATACTGCAGTTACCAGCAGTCATGCTCAGTGGTAGCTGAGAAAGTAGAGGCTTAGGACAGTCTTGAGCCCTCATCCTCTGGAGTGCCATGGGTCTAGTCATGGATTTTACTGAATGTTTTTATTTGACATTTGCATTTGTAGCAAATGCATGTGCTAGACCATCTTTTTTCCTAAACAGAAGTTTAGCAGCTTTATACCAGAGACCAGTTTTGTAGTATTGGAACAGAAATTATATTTATATTATATTATGTAGAAATTATATTGGAACAAATATTATTAGTGCAAATAACATTTATTAAGAGTATATTTGCTTTTTTTTCTACCTTTATGAATTTTATTTAACATTAATGGTATAAAGTTTGAGGTTGGTAACATTGTTGGTATTGGATTAATGTTACACAGTTTTCAGTTGTCTAGGTGGTAGTCAGAATCTGGGGAGGGTTGTGGGCCACCCAAGACTTAGTGGGTATCCAATGCTTGCTTCCTTCCCAAGAGAACAAGTTGCTTAACTTTGAACCTAGAATTGACTAAATAAAACCATGTGTAACCACAATTCCTGTTTTCTGCTACTGGGAATTAAACCCCAAATAGGCAAGTACTCTGCCATTGAATTGTATCTCCAGACTTGCAACTGCCATTTTAAGTGACTCAATAAAATAAACCTATCTTGCTCCACAAGCCTTTGAGAAGCAGCACTTCCAGTTCTTTTATTTGGAGTGGAATTTAGAGCAATGATCATAGTTTAAAAAATATATATAGTGTAGATGATCAAGATTTTATGTTAATGTACTTTTTTAAACACAGATGAAAATAGATTTAAAATATTGTTGTTGCTTAGATTCCCTTCATTTTAGAATTGAAAGTTCAGACAAAATAAATGTGAAATTAGGCCATTCATCTAGCTACAAATTCATTCAGCGTCATGATACTGCCAAAGCCAGTGATGCTGCAGCAGCAGATATTAAACCCTTTTCTGAATACTTAGTTCTTCATTGCAGAGGCATTACTTACTAGAATTTACAGAAATGCAGAAATGTCTTTCTGCAGAACATAGCATGACACACAAAGTTTACCTCACACCCCTCTAGGTAACTCTTCTTATTCATAAGGTTTGGATGTATACAAGGGAGGAGGGGACAGCCAGCCAAGATCCAGTGGAAATGGCCAGCATTTACCAGGCACTAAGTTTGCGTGCAGGGGGTCAGGGCAAATAAGAGGTCAATACACTGTATAAACAGGAAGGAGCACTCCCAAGGACAAAGGGCACTATACTTGCCATGTAGTCCCAGTAGGCCTTGAACCTATGATCCTTCCACCTCAGCCTTCCAAGTGCTGGGATTATAGCCATGCATTACTCACAGTTTATGTGGGATAGTTTATCTTGAGAGCTGTGAAGCAGAACTTGTAGACTCTTACCTGTTCGTACCTCCCTTTTCTGTGAGGTAGCAGGCATGGCTGAGATGACACATGGAGGACACTGACCTCCCTCAGGATCCCTGTGCTCAGCCATGTGTGTCACTCAAGATCCTGGGAGTTTTTCTTTTTCTTTTTTTATTACAATTTTAAAAAAATTTTATTTATGTGTGTGTGTGTGTGTGTGTGCGCGCGCGTGTGCGCGGCCAGCTCAGCCCACCAGGGAATGGGGCTGGTTGGCATGTGGTGCTGGGGGATTGAACTGCGGTCCCTGTGCTCTGCCGAGCCTGTTCCAAGTAGGTGCTCCAGACCACTGAGCCATCTCACCAGCCCCCCCTGGGCATTTTTCTCCACAGTAGTTCATTGGCATCTTTTTACCACAGGTTTGTTTGTTTAAAACTTAGTAAATACTAAGGCCAGCGAGATAGCTCAGTGGTCTAAAGCGCCTGCTTAAGCAAGCATGCAGGGACTTCGGTTTGATCCCCAGCACCACATGCCATGCCAGCCCCGCCCACAGGATGGGCTGAGCTGACCATAAAAAAGAAAAAAATAAATAAAAGAAAACTTAGTAATACTCTTTTTAAGGCTTATTTTGTGTACTTGACTCTCTTTGGGTATAACCATGGAGATTGCCATCAATTTAGCCCCTTCTAGAATTAGCTGCGTTCTATAAAAAGTATTTTTGAATTGTGGATCCCTCCAGCGACAAAGACTGAAGAAACTGTGCTGTTGATTCTTGTCTGAAAATGTAGACGTGGTCTGTCATAGCCCTGAGGGGTTAGAATTCACAGGTCATCCTGTGTCTGGTGAGTTGATGAAACTTGTCATATGTGTCTCCCTGTAGGTTCTGTAGAGTCTTGTAGGTTTTGGTAAAACCCATTTGACCTTCCGTATATATTTTTGTGTATGTATGTGTGACCACAAAGAAAAATATAATTAAGTGATGCAAATAGTTTGTTTCATTGTGACACTCAGAAAATACTGCTTCCAGTATATCTGCCTGCCTGCCTTCCTCCCTTTGTTTCTTTCTTCCTCTGTGGTGAGATTGAAGAGTTTTTTACCACATGTGTTAGGCAAGCATGTTATTTATTGCTTCTTATATAATGATTTATTTTGGATTGTAAACTCCTGTCTTTGACTTTATTTCACTCTTTATTTATTTATTTATTTATTTTTTGTGTGTGGCCAGCTCAGCCCAGCCCACCGGGGGGCGGGGCTGGCTGGCATGTGGTGCTGGGGGATAGAACCGCGGTCCCTGTGCTTTGCCAAGCTTGTTCTAAGTAGGTGCTTTAGACCACTGAGCCATCTCTCCAGCCCCATACTTTCACTCTTATCTCTTCCCTAAATTTATATTTGCTATCAGTTATAAATTACTAATTTCCTCATTGTAAATGAGCAGCAAATCATGCCTCCCAGAGGATATAAAGAAGCAGCCCAAGGTTTTTAGTCCCTGATCTGTGTAGGTAGCCAGTGGCATGGTTACCTACTGAGATCTCAGAGTGTGCAAAGAATCATGTTCTTTTTTTTCTGCCTCAACCCTGCCACTGCCCTGTGGTTTCAGTGTCCATCTATGGACTCATGTTTGCTGACCCTGGTGCTGATCTTTTTGTTTCTAGGATTTCATTGTCTTCTCTTGGCTATTTTGGCTGCTCCTCAGTGACTCTAACATTTGAAACCATGAGTTCAGGCGTGCCAACCTTACAATCCCCTTGGTCTAGGTTTCCTGACAACCACTTCATCTGCTGACCTGATTTTCCTACTCTGTGAAAGTCTTTGTTGTGTCTCTTTTTGCCAGCTACTAGTCCAGTGTTCTTGTTGTTTCAGAAGTACTCTTGTCAGAATCCTACTTCCATTCCAGTCTTTTATTATGATTTATGCTGGTTCCCACTCTGCATCAATCATTACATTAGTGTCTTAGTCTGTTTCTTTCTTCTTTGTTTTGCATGGGAAATCAAATTGAACACCGTGCGCTTGCCAGGCAGGTGCTGTGCTGCTTAGCTGAAATCTCGCTGCTGGGACAAAATATCTGATACCCACAAACTAAAGGAGGAAAGCTCACAGTTTGTAGATTTCAGTCTACAGTGGGCTGACTGCAAGGCAAGGTGCCATGGCAGAAGGGAATAGTGGAGGATAAACAGTCAGTGGGAGGGCAGGCAGGCAAGAGACAGTGAGCCTGCTTTCTTTATTTCCCTTTATATTCTGTTCAGGCTGCAAGCCTTTTGGCCACTGCCCCTCACAGCCAGGGAAGAACTTCTCTCTTCAATAACCCATCACAACTATGCTAAGCCAATCCAGTTGTCATATCCATAATTCAGTATTGTACCCACAATCCAACCACCCTCAAAAACTCCCAGAAGGCTTGGGGGGGAGCTTATAGGTATAAGCCCTAAGCAGCAACAGAAAGATTCCACCACCCCATGCTGGGGTCCCGCTGACTCACTCATTGCCTGCCCTGTTCACACAGATGCTCGTTAGGTCACTCAGTGGACAGATAACTTGAATACTTTTTTTTCTTTTTTGGCGGAACTGGGGATTGAACTCAGATCCTTGCGTTTGCCAGTCAAGCGCTTATCCTACTGAGCCATCTCCCCAGCCCTAACTTGGATACTTTTTGACCTTCTTTTTTGTGCTCTGTGGATCAAGTACTAACCTCTTCATGGGCATTGATGCTGCCTTTTCCACTTTCTGCAGGTTTTTGCTCCCTACATACTTAAGGAAATCTGATGCCATCACTTATTCTTAGGATT